CAACAGTAGAAGGCTGGGAACATGAGTGGGTGGCACCAGTTACGGCTTCCCTTTGGACAGTTCAGTCTCTGTTCCAGTGTTTATGAGCTGATCCAAAGCCCCTGGCGCTGTGGTTTAACCCTGCAGGCAGCTCAGCACCACAGCTCACTCTCCCCAGGTGAAACGGGACAGAATCGTTAGGGTAGAAGTGCAAGAGCTCATGGGTTGAAATAAAGGCAATTAATTTACTAGGTTTTATGGAAAACAAAAGCTGTGCAAGCAAAGTAAATGAAAGAATTCACTTGCTGCTTCCCATTGGCAAGCAGGTGTTCAGCCACATCCAGGAGAGTAGGGCTCATCACACGCAATGGTTTCTTGAGAAGACAAACGCCTTCACTCCAAACGGCAATCCCTTTCTCCTTTACCCCAGCTGTTATTGCTGAGTGTGATGCCACATGGCATGGGACACCCCTTTGGTCCGTTTGGTGGTGTTCCCTCCCAGCTCCTGGTGCACTCCCAGCCTGCTTGCTGCAGGGCAGCAGGAGAAGCAGAAAAGGCCTTGGCTCTATGCATGCGTGGCTCAAAACATCAGTGTGTTATCAGCATTTTTATAAAAAAATCCAAAACATAGCATCGTATGAGCCTCCAGGAAAAAAAAAAAAATGACTCTAGTCTAGCCAGAATCATGACACATAGAAATTAATATTTGCTGCCATCCAGCAAAAAGACAAGGTCTGTAATACAGAATCTTCAAACATTATGTCCTGGTATTTTAAAAATCTTCAGATGTTTCAAAAGTCTTCAGTCACAGCAACATATTTTCATATATATGTTGCCATTTCTGCATTAAATACCGTCATTAGATTAGTTTTTGTCCTCATGTCTGGCTATCTGATCTCCCTCCATTCCTCTCCCCTAATCTTTCTTTAAGCAAAACAGGCCAAAATGTAGAGAGGAAAAAAAGGGATTTTTTCACCATAATTAAAAAAAAAAAAAAAATGAAACAAATTAGTAATTAATTCAGTAGCCAAAATGCTAACCTCAAATTGCAGTAGGTAGGAAGGTGACTGCAGAGCCCACTTCCCTCCGAGGTCACGAAACCACAAATTCTATGCCTCAAAAGACCTGTGTTCAAAATGGGAGCCACCAATGTCATGTATGGTCTTTCCAAAACTTTTTTTTTTTTTTCTCATTGAAGCTTTCTGGCTGAAAAAAATTGGAAACAAAATGAAAAACTGAAAGCCAGGAGCTTTAACCTAGGTCACTGAGGTTGAAGGTAGCGGGTGCATTAACACATAAAAATATCTCCTACATCGCCACTGGGAAACCAGAGGGGGGAACTCGCTGTGGTCAGGCTGGGGAAGGGAACATGCATCAACAGATCAGATATCCATATTTCGTGTAAGTTCCCTGCACACTAAGGGGTGCAGTGACCAAGCAGAGCAATGAGGGAAGGGGCAGAGAGCTACCTAACCCGTGTGCTGCCAGCGCCAAGGCAGCACATTGGCTTGGCGAGCCTGGTCTGAAGTCACAACAAGTGACAGAATTATAAGATTTCAGGCCAGAAGAAGCATTTAAAAAATGTGAACACACCAAATTCTCTGCTATATTTCTGTGCTCCCTTATGGACTGCTCCCCTCGGCACCTTTGGAAATCCTCTTACGATGTCCCGTAAACTCCTTGTTTATGTGCAAATACCTTGGGAAATATTCTCTTGTAATTCTCTGCAAATGTTTTAATGGTGGGATGGCTGATTTAAAATACCACACAAATCTCCAATTTCACATCAGTATTTTAGCCTGGTCAGCATAAACCTCCAGCTCTTGAGTTCTCATAAAAGAATTTGCAGCCCACTCTAGTGTTTCCGAGAAGCTCTATGCAGGTATTTTTTGGTGGTTGTTAGTTTTTTTCTTTTCTTGCTTTTTTTTTTTTTTTTTGGTTGGTTAGTTTGGTTTGTAAATATGGAAAAGATTCTCTGTAAATGACAAGCACCGCGATAAAATAACAGCTTATTTTACATTTGCAGTGCGCGCTGATCAAGATGAAAGAGCTTGAAAAAACACCCATTAAAAAATGCTATGGATAGTTTCAGTTTCCAGACATAAGGTGACTTGGAGTATTTGACTTGGAGGTTGGTTTATTTTTTTTTTACTTTTTTTTTTCTTTTTGATAAAGATGACATATACTGCTTCAGAAAAAAAAAAAAAAAAAAAAAAAAAAAGAGAGAGAGAGAGAGAGAGAGAGAAAGGAAATAGAACTCTTTCTAATCCCCCTGTGCAAGTATAAACCATAGCGTAGTAACACCAAGATTGTCTATGGCAGAAAGATGTAAATGCCAGATAAACTCAGGGAGGACTTCAATTGTCAGCTTGAGGAAGGCAGTGGCACCTCCTGAGAGCACACGCTCTGCTGTGACCCAGTGGATGGACCATGGGATGTCCTCAAGACCCTCGTTAGCTTCTGTGGGTAATGGAGCCCCTATTACTTTTGAAAGAGTTTTAATTAATTTGAAACTGTTTAAACTAACTGCCCCAAAACAACTGAGGGTGCTCAGGAGCTGTAAGGGCAGGAAGCAAACACACCAGGGCACACCCGAGAGGGATCTTCAGAGCTGTAAGTCATCCCTGTTTCGTGCAATAATAGAGACACCAAAGCTTTCCAGGGTTTTCTAGCAAGTAGAGCCAAGCTTTCCATGCTGCAATAACGTTTACCAAGAACTGAGGCATCTCAAAGCAGAAAGCCCTGACAGCAACATGTCAGCTGTGCTGGGCGTTGCACGTATTGCAACTGCACCTCACAACCCACAGCCTCCAGAAGTAAGCAGAAGAAAGCAGGAATTGTCAACAAAGGTCACCAATTCCCTTGTATTTTAAAGTTGTCCAGATGCCATTACCCTTCTTTCAGCATCCCCTTTTGAGGGCATGGCTGCTTTCATGCCAGGACAGAGAAACATTGCAGAGCTCTCATATCATGAGTCCACTCACCCTTCCTTGCTTGGCCCGCTGGTGGGTTTTGCTTGGAGCACAGCATGCAGAGGAAGGTCAGACATGCAGGACACATGGACAGCACAGGGCTTTCACTCTGTTAGAGCCCTCCACCAGCTCTACCCACATTGCAGCTTGCTTCCCACACTGGAAGCACGGAAAAAACACCTGCAGAGTGCTTAATGAAAAGGCGGCAATCACAACTTGATAAAGTAATAAGCATGGATGTTGTTTCACACCTACCTGCATGAGTAAGAATAGGCTGGCCCTCTTCCATAAGAGTTGGCAGGATTTTATGTACTACGTGCGAAGTAGGATATATTCGTGCTAAAATGTTTTGAAATGTGGGAGAATAGAAGATGAGGCAGCCCAGTTATCCACTGCTTTCACCATAACTCAGGAGGAGCTTCGTATTCTTTTGAGAGACTTGGTGATTTACGATCCTCTAGCCTTAGCATTTCAGCTATACTAAGAAAGGATTTCTTGATTTATTTTACACTGGTTTTACATCTTTTTTGTAATGAGACTTCATATAGGACCTCTGAGACTTCCTTAAAAAGATATTCTCATTCTGTAGTGTATGTATGGCTCTGAGTAGGTTGGTTGTTCTCCTAACGCCTGACTCTGGAGATAGGCAAAGCTGGGGGGAGAATAAGCTGTTACCTTTCTTCTGTTGCGTTGGGTGATGTATGAACTGGGAAAATCAGCTAAACAGCCCGCACCTCATTAAGTAATATTGGGTGTTGTAAGAGCTGGAACACCACCAGCAACAAGAAAAATGGGCAATTAGAGACTCATTAAAGGCATGACAGGTCTGAGTATGCTTTTGTATTCCAGGGAGGAAAAACATAGATGTAGGTATCCCTGTTCCTTCTGGTCTTCCTTCTCATTATTTTTTTAAGAAGATCAGGATTTACTGCATTTATAATAGAAATGTGGGGGTCTGGGAGGGTTTGCAAACACGCTGTCATGCAGATGGGCTCCTTCATGCAGCCTGCACTGGGCTGGGGAAGGTGCCACCAGTGCTGGCAGAGCAGCAGGTCCATATGCAGGGTTGTGCTGACATGGGCAATTTTTTGCTTGTGTGATTCAGGAACAGACCCACCAACGTACGCAATTTGTACTTTATGAATTCAGACTGCTTGTCTGCCAGGACAATGTAATCAGCAGGTCCCTGAAAGGATTCCTTAGAAATCCTGACATCTTGTCAGATACCAATATTATCTCTAGAATAATAATGAGATATCACAAAGCAGAGCAATCACAAGATCTGTTAAGTGTTCGTGCACTTAAATTGCAATTGCCATACCTGTCCTTCGTGATGTGGGGCAGAACCCTCTGGTGTCACCCTAGCTGCCACTGGACGCCCTTCCTCGGTGCCACTGGGTGCTCACTGCCTCGAAAGCAAGACTAAATTATTTATGGGCTCCATGCACAGAGGTGTGCAAGGCCCCACCATGCTCCACTGCCGTGCTGGGTACAACCGCTCGTCCCCACCTTGCTGCACCTGACCCAGCATCGGGGTGACCTCTGTGCAGAGATGGGGTCTGCCATCACCCCAAAACCCTCCCGACCCATCCCACTGCTGCTTTGCTTCACTGTGGCTTTGGGTGAACGCGAAAGGGATGATACACTTCTTGAATTCTCTGTCCAGCAGGCATCGGGTGGACAGGAACCCCAGGAATCAGCCCTAGCAAGCCCTGGCTCAGGACTAAGTTGGGCTCGACAGACAGACAGACGGACAGACAGACAGGCAGCCCGTGTCTGCCGGTCCTGCCCCACGCAGCGGACGAGGATGCCATCGTGTGGCCGACTCGTGTGGCTCATTTCCCACACGCTTTCCCGACGTTTGCATGGAAAGCTTTCTGTCTCAACACCAAGCTCTCCCTGAGAGCTCCTGAGAATTTTGCTTGGGTAAATCCTGGGCATCCATCTCAATATTTGTTTCTCGGGATATCAGGAGAAATCATCACGCGACTCCAACACGGGGCTCATACACCAAGGGCATCAAACGCACCACGAGGACATTATTTCAGATTCACAGCCCGTTGCAAACCTCATATTTTTAATTCATTCACGGTCCATTTTACTTAATGCAGGCAGATAACCAACAGTTTATTTGCATTGAAAAGCCAGTTTCCCCAAGTATGAACCCTGGGGACACAAGACATTATGCATCTAGAGAACATGTTTTATGTATAGGTAACATGGAAAGGATGACTCCATAAAGGTAGCCAGCAACAAATACTTGAGTGAAAGCTCATTAATTTTATCCATATTGTTTGTCAGTTCCTTGTGTTCTTGCCAAGCTCAAAGGCTATGAGCCTCCTTGCCTACAGGTCCTGAGATGAAGCAACACCAGCTGTTTCTCCCACTTTTTAGGGCCAGTTTTGGGGGAAGCCACCCTTTTGATTTTAATTCAGGCCCCAGCAAAGGGGAGCCCACACTGTTTCAGGAGGTCTGGGAGCCCATTTCTGAGCGCTGCTCCACGCCCAAGTTTTTAGGCGATTTCTGATGAGCTCTCCAAGTCTTGCGGCCAATTCTTCCATTCATCAAGGAATAAGGATGTACAAGTTTCTCCTTCTTTCTTCTCCTTTTATGGAGGAAAGCTTGATGGCTGCTCCAGGCTGTCTTCAGAAACATCTGCCAAAACATTGCTGAGCTTTATCCCCAGGGGTCTCTTTCTCCAGAAGAAGAAGGAGGGAACCAAACATTTCCCTGAGGACGATGTGGACCCAGACCATTCCTCCTCACCGCACGTCCCTTGATGTGCCAGCCTGTTACCCCTCAGCCTCTCCTGCCTGTGCCACCAGAGTCCTCTTGTCACTGCAGTGCTCGTTCTTTTTGGTTTTTTTTGGCATCAGAAGCTCCGTGCTTAGAAAATAAAGCATGGAGATTTTTAACAGAATAAACAGAAATAATCACGATGTAAAAAGTCTTGAGATTAATTGAAAAACTGAGGTAGACCAAAGAGAGACCTGGGTGCCCCAGTCATCTCTGTAAGATTGCAGCAGAGCTGGAGGTCTGAAGGCAGCTGGTGTATTTAGAGGATACAGTTTGGGACAGACTCTGCACGCCTTAGGGACGTCTTTTGATGGCATCTCTTCAAGGCTGCAAAGCAATGTCTGCAGGATTTGGCAGTTGGCAGGCTGGACTGTTACAGCAGAGAAATCAGATGGGCTAGCAGACACCGGCATGTACCGCTAGCAGGTCCCTGGAGGGCTACACAGGGCAAGTCAGCTACATCAATAGGCAGCCTAAAACACAATATGAATTGTGTTTTATGTGTGGCTTGTTTTATTATCTTCTGAAGTAAAAGAGTGGCTTAAAATCTGAATTTATATCATCCTTATGTTTCCCAGATTAATTTAGACCTTGGATAACAAACTGAAGTTGTTGAAGACCTTCAAATCTGTTCATGATAATGCATTAAACTGTGGCAAAGTGGGGAATTCTATAATGAAAAACAAAAACGTTCATTCGTACAGATGGAATCATCCAGTTCTTCAGTCCTGAAAGTGAGTTAGGATTTGGTAGGAATCCAGATGTTCCTACACAAAAAGCACCCATGCACCCACAGTGCTTTCCCCTTCTCTTTCCAGAGCAGGAGATCCTTGTTCACAAAGATGAGCATTATACATGGTATTGTACAAAAAACACTCACTTGGATGACGTTGTGTGGGCTGGCTTTGGGTGTATCTCACTCATGTGGGAAAGGGGAAAGTTGTTCCATTGGTTTGATAAGCAAAATGCCATTAGTGAAAAAGTGCAATACCACAATGAAAATTAGTAAGGTGCTCTTAGACAACAGAGTGAAAGCTTCGAAAAGAAAATGGTCTTTGGGCTTGATTGGGCTGGTGCAGGTTTGGAGCCTTCCAGGGACTAAGTCCGTGGCAGAAGAGAAAGCAGATGCCATAGCTGTGGGCTTCTGCAGTGCCAGGAGTCTTCGATGAGACCAGTGAGCCCTCACCATCACCGTACTGCTCAGGAAAGTAGGAGACTGATCAGGTCTTCTTGGCAATGCTTTTGAAAGAAGAAAGAAGGGGGTTTATGAAGTACCACACAAAAGAGCAGACTGCCATGAAAGGTTTTGAGTATTTAGCTGTTAAAATTTTCCATAATCAGATAGTTTTAATGATGTTCCTTTATTCAACCCTAAATTTATTAGGAAAAGAGTAAAACCGTGAGTTGATAGTCAACACACTTTGTCAGGGCTTAATTTCAGGTCTCCGTGGTAGATCAAGGGAGGAAAGGATACTGTGAAGGGACTTTAGTCAGAATATTTCAAAATTTATGTTAGAAAATACTCTCCTTTCAGATTTTCTTTTCTGAATCAGATCAATCAAGACAGTCACAATCAAAATGGATTGCAATGAAATTCCAGGAAATCTGGAATGTAATGAAAATCCATCGGTATATCTCTTGTGCTCCAAATCCCAGACCCATATTCGAAAAGCGTTTGCCTGTCCAGATGTTGGTACCCATGTAAGTTACCTGATTTTCAGCGGACCTCTACAATTGCAACTCCATTTGATTCAAAGGTTAATTTTCTAATTTTAAGAAAGCTAGAGGGTCTTTATGCGCTGACCTGGAAGTTAAGGATTGGTCTCAGTTTGGTCTCTTTTCATTGCTTTGAGAGAAAGTTCATAGCCAAGAAACATGGCTGAACTCATGGGGAATCCTCGCACTGCATTGACCGTGATGCCCCTAAAAAAGACCTGTTGGGGATGGAGAAAGGTTAGAGCACAGGAATATACTGGCTGTTTCAAGAAGAAGAAAACGTTGAACTAAGTCATGGTGGGGTTCTGGAGAACCCAACCTTGGTTTGCTCAGGAGATAGGCTCCCACTGATAGTCTTTGCTGAAGTGTGCGCTGAAGAATGGAAACGTAATGGCTAAAGTGGCTGGTTTGGCATCAGTCTGCTCTGTGTTCCCTATAGACTTTTTTTCTGTATCTGCCAGCAAGAACCAGAAGCAGTAGAGGGCCTCATGCCACTGGTGGATATCATCAAAAGAAATCTAAACCTTCTTCTAAGTCTGTCCTACATGGCTATAGTTTTTCCTTCCCTTTGCGTACATGAGCATTTGGGCATCATGAAAATGCCAGGGTACAACAACAAAGCTCTTGCTTTCACACAGCTGATGTTTCAACTTCTGGGCTAGCTCTATGGCAGCAAATGACAGCTGTGAACGAGAGAGGGAACATTTTTTATGTGTTTCATTTCTGAGTATAGCAACCATTTCTCAATCAGTAGAAATCTGGACTTAATCTGTGCCTTGCAGAGAGCTAGTTCTCACGTACTGGCTTTGGAAAAGATATTCGATATCAGCTGATATTTTCACATTTGGGTTCCTAAGGTCAAGCTTCAGTGCCCACCCACTTAAGTGCTTTCTGGATTCTGTGGGGCCCTGGTCGCTCCCCACACCAGGCCTAGGCCCGTCTCCCTGCTCGGCACCCTCACCTACAAGCGCTGCTGCCAGGCCTGAGCACAAAGCACCAGAGGGCCAGGAGAGACAAATTACAGAATGATGACTGCAGGGAGTAGCTCTGCTGGCCTGCAAAGTCACCCCATTAACCACCCTGGCTAACCACAGTGGTCACTAATCTAACCACCAGAATTTCAGGAGTAGAAAAGAGAAGTAACGCCAGTAAGGCAGGGCCCATCCAGGCCTTAGAGAGGCAAAACTCCCACAGCTACTGTAAGACTGAATTGGAGACCTTGGCAACAAGACTGGAAGCCCATGGATTTAAATGTCTAACCAGTGTTTTTCCCCTGGAATCCTGAACTCAGCTAAACAAGCCTTCTCTTGTACCCAATAAATCCAGTTCTTCATGGCGTTGACTCGTACGAGACAGAATCAAAACACGTTCACATTGTTTAGGATGGCGTTTGCAACGTGAAACTGTGCTATTGGGATATTTGGGATATTACTTGATTTATCTAGGGTATTTTATTCTGAATTTTATGTCTGAAAAGACAGAGTTTTCTGGGAGAAAATTCAAGTTTTTCTAGTATCCATAGGGTAACACGATAGATCCAAGTTAAATAATAATGAAGATTTATAAAGAAAAGTCCAGAGGCTTTTTTTTTTTTTTCTCACCAGAGTGAGCACACCTGACTATGGAGAAAGAAGAGGGATACATACATATATATATATATATATATATATATATATATATATAATTAATTATTTTTTTTTAGTATTTTTTTTTCATATGCCACTGAAAATGCTGTTCCTTTGTCCCAGCATGAAAGCATCCAGACCTGGGCTTGCCTTCTATCAGTTCTGCGGCTCTAAACATACAAAACAATTTATCTTATGACAGAAAGGTCTGGTCTTATCGCTCAGCTATTACTCAACTCTACCAGCAGGCTCTGTCCAGGCACCAGGAATGACAACAACCAAACCACAAGCAGCTCAGACCCCAGGCAACAAAAACTGAGTGCCTGAATTAATATTCAGGCAGGCCAAGGAGGGTACTGGGTGAGGGCAACCGAGCACTCTCCTTAGGATTTCTCTGGGTGCCTCTGGGTGCTTCATACCAATGTGATTTTCTTCACTTAACAGCCAAAACCCAACCAGACTGCAAGCTCCTATGACAGCTGGCATAATATAGTGGCATGTTGTCAAATATTTAAATCCCACTGACTTGTGATTTTGCAGGTTATTTTTCTTGTTACTTCAACTTGTTACTTTTCCCTCAGAATGTGAAAATTAACACTTTTGAGCTAGGAGCCCACATGATGTTTTGATGACAACTGAAATACAGATTTAATTCAATATCAGAAGACATCACTTCCCATAAGCATACATTGGTGGTGCAATAAACCTGCAAACCCTGGTTTTCTGCCATTCTCATTTAACTGAGACAAGGTTTGCAGACAGAAAAAAACAACTTTTATTACACTAATAAATAAAGTCAGAAAAAGGAGGGTGGTTTTTGGCACACAATCCTTCTTCACAATGAAAACTGATGCAATTCTGATTTAAAAGAGCAATTTCCATCACTAATTTATGATATGTCAAATTATATCCACAGTTAAGCACACTGACACAAAATGTTATTTTAAGTTAATAACACAAGCAGACTATGACCCTCAGTCACTCATATTTTCATTTCTGCAAGGCACATTATTACTCTCACAATTATGAACTAGAAAGAATCTGTACTATAATTACCTACTGTAATTATTACAATTTATAGCTAACTGGCTTTAGTTGTCTCTCAACCCTGCAGATGGGTTTGTAACAACCGCTGTATTTCCCAATTAAAAAATCAGATGCCTGACATGCAGATTTTACTTCAAATACCACTTACTTTTAGGCCCTCGTTCTGGTAGCTCTGCAAGATACAGTCAAGGATCCCCTTGTACTTGTTTAAGTAAACTCCATCTGCCTGAAGTCGACTTTTCACAACATCCATTGGAGTAGCAGTCCCCCAGGAAATTACTCCTAAAACAAAATACAGAAGAGAATCCCATCGTTATCCCAACACACACCTGGGCTTTGGCCATGACAAGGTATTTGAACAACTTCTCTGTGTTTTCTTGGCTGCAGGCCAGTGAACTGGGAACATCGTGTCTCACCCACCGCATCATACTCACTGGATATTCATCTCAGGGCATTCACCCTGCTCAGGCACAGAAACGATATTTCTGGGGGCAAAGTTCCCTGTTTCAGGAAGAAGCACTGGGATTTGGGGGGTTATGCCAGTGTCCTGGTTTCAGTTAGCACAGAATTAATTTTCTTCCTAGTAGCTGGTGGAATGCTGTGTTTTGGCTTAGGATGAGAAGAGTGCTGATAACACCCCGATGCTTTAATTGTTGCAGAGCAGTGCTTATACTAAGCCAAGGACATCTCAGCCTTTTGCTCTGTCCTGCCAACGGGCAGGCTGGGGGTGCAGTAAGAGCTGGGAGGGGACAGACCCAGGACAGGTGATCCAAACTAGCCAAAGGGGTATTCCATACCATCTGACGTCATGCTAAACAATATATAGGGGTGGCTAGCTGGGGGGGGAAGGGGCCGGACTGCTCGGGGTTAGGCTGGGCATCGGTCAGCGAGTGGTGAGCAATTGCATTGTGCATCACTTGTTTGTACATACTATTATTACTTTCCTATTATCATCATTGTATTATTATTGTTATTATTTTATTATTATTTTGTTATTATTATTTTCCTGTCTTATTAAACTGTCTTTATCTCAACTCACGGGCTTCACTTTCCATTTCTCTCCCCCGTCCCGGAGAGGGAGGGGGGAGGGTGAGCGAACGGCTGCGTGGTGTTTAGCTGCCGGCCGGGTTAAACCACAACAGCCTTTTTTGGCTCTGAATTCGCTTCAGTGTTTCTTCCACCTCAGCCATCGCGAGCCGCCGCCACCGCCCCGTCGCCAGTCACGGCCTTGCGCGCATGCCCTATCCACCCCTTATTCCATACCATTTATGTCATGCTCAGGTTACACTCTTTTCCATACATTCTAATTAGTCACCTATAGTAATCATGGTAGTGATAACATACAGTATAATATACTATTTAACATGGTACAATTCAGTTCATGGGCTATTCTCACCCAGTATTAAATCTCCTTGAGGTACACACCGGACCTCTCCGTTCTTTTGCATCACCCACCAAGTGTATCCAGGTCCCTGAGCGAAAACAATTCCACGAATAGGTTTGCCTTTTCCTGAGGCAGGAGTAGCCCAGACTGTTTTACCCAGCATATTTTTTACATGCACTACAGGAACTTTATCCCCATCTACAGTACGTAACAGGTTTGATTGGGCAGGTCCAGCTCGGTTGGTAGATCCCCTAGTATTGACTAACCAAGTGGCCTTTGCTAAATGCGTATCCCAGTTTTTGAACGTCCCAGCGCCCATTGCTTTCAAGGTAGTCTTTAACAGGCCATTGTATCGTTCAACTTTCCCGGAGGCTGGTGCATGATAGGGGATGTGATACACCCATTCAATACCATGTTCTTTGGCCCAAGTGTCTATAAGGTTGTTTCGGAAGTGAGTCCCATTGTCTGATTCTATTCTTTCTGGGGTGCCATGTCGCCATAGGACTTGCTTTTCAAGGCCCAGGATGGTGTTCCGGGCGGTGGCATGAGGCACAGGATATGTTTCCAGCCATCCGGTGGTTGCTTCCACCATTGTAAGTACGTGGCGCTTGCCATTGCGAGTTTGAGGGAGTGTGATGTAATCAATCTGCCAGGCCTCTCCATATTTATATTTCAGCCATCGTCCTCCATACCAAAGAGGCTTTGACCGTTTGGCTTGCTTGATTGCAGCACATGTTTCACAGTCATGAATAACCTGTGCTATAGCATCCATGGTCAAGTCCACCCCTCGATCACGAGCCCATCTGTATGTTGCATCTCTACCTTGATGGCCTGAGGTGTCATGGGCCCATCGGGCTATAAATAATTCACCTTTATGCTGCCAATCCAAGTCCACCTGAGCTACTTCAATCTTAGCAGCCTGATCCACCTGCTGGTTGTTTTGATGTTCTTCAGTAGCCCGATTTTTGGGCACATGAGCATCTACGTGGCGTACTTTCACAGCCAGGTTCTCTACCCGAGCAGCAATATCTTGCCACAATGCAGCAGCCCAGATGGGTTTGCCCCTACGCTGCCAGTTGTTTTGCTTCCATTGCTGTAACCATCCCCACAGGGCATTTGCTACCATCCATGAATCGGTGTAGAGATAGAGAACTGGCCATTTTTCTCGTTCAGCAATGTCTAAAGCCAGCTGAATGGCTTTCACTTCTGCAAACTGACTCGATTCACCTTCTCCCTCAGCAGCTTCTGCAACTCGTCGCGTAGGACTCCATACAGCAGCCTTCCATCTCCGATGCTTCCCCACAATACGACAGGACCCATCAGTGAACAGGGCATATTTCTTTTCATTCTCTGGCAACTGGTTGTACAGTGGGGCTTCTTCAGCACGACCCACCTCCTCCTCTGATGATATCCCAAAGTATTTGCCTTCTGGCCAGTCCATGATCACTTCCAATATTCCTGGGCGACTGGGGTTTCCTATTCGAGCCCGCTGAGTAATCAATGCAACCCACTTGCTCCATGTAGCATCAGTTGCATGATGCGTAGAGGGGACCCTTCCCTTGAACATCCAGCCTAGTACTGGCAATCGGGGTGCTAGGAGGAGTTGCGCTTCAGTACCGACCACCTCCGAAGCAGATCGAACTCCTTCATATGCTGCCAATATCTCCTTTTCAGTTGGAGTATAGCGGGCCTCAGATCCTCTGTATCCCCGACTCCAAAACCCCAGGGGCCGACCTCGAGTTTCCCCAGGTTCTTTCTGCCAGAGGCTCCAGGTGGGGCCGTTCTCCCCGGCTGCAGTGTAGAGCACATTCTTTACATCTGGTCCTGTTCGAACTGGCCCAAGGGCTACTGCATGGACTATTTCCTGCTTGATTTGTTCAAAGGCTTGTCGTTGTTCAGGGCCCCATTCAAACTCATTCTTCTTACGAGTTACTTGGTAGAGCGGGTTTACAATCAGACTGTAATTTGGGATGTGCATTCTCCAAAACCCCACAACACCTAGGAAAGTCTGTGTTTCTTTTTTGTTAGTTGGTGGAGACATAGCTGTTATTTTGTTGATCACATCCATTGGGATTTGACGACGTCCATCTTGCCATTTTATTCCTAAAAACTGGATCTCTCGTGCAGGTCCTTTGACTTTATTCTGTTTTATGGCAAAACCGGCTTTCAGAAGGATTTGGACTATTTTCTTCCCTTTCTCGAAAACTTCCTCTGCTGTGTCACCCCACACAATAATGTCATCGATGTACTGCAGGTGTTCAGGAGCTTCCCCCTGCTCTAGCGCAGACTGGATCAGCCCATGGCAAATGGTAGGGCTGTGTTTCCACCCCTGGGGCAGCCTATTCCAAGTATATTGAACTCCCCTCCAAGTGAAGGCAAATTGTGGCCTGCACTCTGCTGCTAGAGGGATGGAGAAAAATGCATTAGCGATATCAATTGTGGCGTACCACTTGGCTGCCCTCGATTCAAGTTCATACTGAAGTTCCAGCATGTCCGGCACTGCAGCACTCAGTGGTGGCGTGACTTCGTTCAGGCCACGATAGTCCACTGTTAGTCTCCACTCGCCATTAGACTTTCGCACTGGCCATATGGGGCTATTGAAAGGTGAATGGGTCTTGCTGATCACTCCTTGGCTCTCCAATTGACGAATTAGCTTATGGATGGGAATCAGGGAGTCTCGGTTAGTGCGATATTGCCGCCGGTGCACAGTTGTGGTAGCAATTGGCACTTGCTGTTCTTCGACCCTCAGCAACCCCACAACAGAGGGGTCCTCTGAGAGACCAGGCAAGGTAGATAATTGTTTAATGCCCTCTGTCTCTAAGGCAGCTATACCAAAAGCCCACCGGAACCCTTTTGGGTCCTTGCAATATCCTCTTCTAAGATAGTCTATGCCAAGGATACATGGAGCATCCGGGCCAGTCACAATGCGGTGCTTTTCCCACTCATTCCCAGTCAGACTTACTTCAGCCTCCAATACAGTCAACTGCTGAGATCCTCCTGTCACTCCACAAATATAGATGGGCTCTGGTCCTTTATAGCTCGATGGCATTATAGTACATTGTGCACCGGTGTCTACTAAAGCCTTATACTTCTGTGCGCGTGATGTGCCAGGCCATCGAATCCACACAGTCCAATAAACTCGATTGTCCCTTTCCTCCCCCTGGCTGGAGGCAGGGCCCCCCTAATCCTGGTCAGAATCTTCTTCGTTTCTGTGTTTGAAGGATTGTCTGCTGGAAGTTGGAGCAGCAAACTTTTCGGAGAATCCTTTTTTCCTGATTGTTTTCTTTTGCAACTCACGTACCCGTGCCTCTAGGGTCGCGGTAGATTTTCCATCCCATTTTCTCATGTCCTCTCCATGGTCTCGTAAGTAAAACCACAGGGTGGCACGGGGTGAGTACCCACTATATCGTCTTCCTTGTGTGGATGAACGCCTACCCCTGATAGCTGAGACACTGCTTTGTACAGGTGCGGAGGAGAATAATCTCTCTTCAAGTTGGTGAAACTTTTCAGAAAGTTTCTCCCAGGTGTTCTCTTTCGGTCGTTGGACACTGGTTGGTTCAGGTTGGGGGGAAGATAGATTCTCTTTAAGTTGGTGGACCTCTTCAGACAGTTTCTCCACAGCTGAGACGCAGGCCTGTAAGGAAGAGGAGAGACTTTCTTCGTACTGCCGGAGTTGTTTAGCCGCTTCATCCACTGTGGGTTCCTCATCCTCTTTCCAGGCCATTACTGCCAATGAGCTGGCATATGATGATGGTGCACTCCGTACAAACTTCCGCCACATGGGTCGTGTACACTTGACTCCATCTGGATCTTTGGATGTTTGTGTCTGGTCTGGATCCTCATAAATCACTTCCCGTACGGCTAATTCCCTCAGGTACTGGATTCCCTTCTCCATAGTGGTCCACTTGCCTGGTACACATAAAATATCTTCCTTGAAGGGATACCTTTCCCTCACAGCTGAGAGGAGACGCCTCCAGAGGCTGGTGGGTCGTGCTCCATCTGCAATTGCTTTGTCAATGCCGGCGTCTCGAGCAAGGGATCCCAACCGTCTGGCTTCCCTGCCGTCTAATTCCACACAATTGGCTCCAGAGTCCCAGCACCGGAGCAGCCAGGTGACAAGCTGCTCACCTATACAGCGACCAAAATCTTTTCGCACATCTCGTAGCTCGCGCTCGTTTAGGCTTCGCGTAGTTACTGTTGCTCTTTCGGCATCCTCATCTTCCTCCTCCTGAATCCTTGATGGCCCAGCGTCGTCATCATCTTCGTCATCTCTATACTTAGTTTTGGCAGAAGCCTTACCTGGATTGGCAGAAGACTCTCTGCGTTCTAAACGACTTGAATTTCTGTACCATATTTTCACCTTCTCTACAGGGGCAGCTTGCACTGCTACTGCTCGTTTCTCTGACTTTGTTACAGGGTCTGCCACAGGGATTGGAATACCCTCTGCAGGGTCAACTTGCACTGCTACAGCTCGTTTCTCTGACACGGCCACAGGAGCTGGAGCGGCTGCAGGAGCTGGAGCAGTTGCAGGAACCGGAGCTGTAGCGGCTACAGGAGCTGGAGCTGGAGCTGGAGCAGTTGCAGGAGCTGGGACTGGAGCAGCAGTAGGAGCTGGAACTGGAGCGGCTGCAGGAGCTGGAACTGGAGCGGCTGCAGGAGCTGGAGCTGGGGCGGCTGCAGGAGCTGGAGCTGGGGCGGCTGCAGGAACCGGATCTGGAGCGGCTGCAGGAACCGGATCTGGAGCGGCTGCAGGAACCGGATCTGGAGCGGCTGCCGAGTCCACCGTAGGGGTCACAGTGGCCGTTGGATCTGTCACTAAGTTGATAGCAGTATCAATGGCAGCTCGATAGGCATGAGCCAGGCCCCAGCACGTTACAATGATTTGTGTTACTTTAGAACTGCCAGAATCATGACACCTTTTTTTCAAGCATTCTGCCAGTTTTTTGAGGATTTTGCCATTGTTCAGGGGTGAATTTCCAACACACTGGGGGTGCCAACTGCTCTAGATGCCTGCCCATATCCGCCCATACTCCCTGCCACCCACAACTATCCTGCCCCCGGGCAGATCTCCAGAAGAGCTTCCCAAGTAGTTGTTTAACTTTAAGCAGAACCTGAAGTGCATTCATGAGGCAGAACAACAAGACTATGGTACTCTGAGTATTCCAGAAATATTCAATATCTTGGAGAGCTATTGTGACAAGCTCAGGGGATAAGAGGGTGGTGAAGGAGGAAGGCAGAGTGACCCAGGAGGATACAGGGGTGGTGAAGGAGAAAGGGAGAGTAAGCAAGTAAGGAAAAATATCCTCCCCTTTCCCCTCCACAGATTGACTCCTTAATGGAAAAAAACAATAGGTATAATTGCTAATAGTTTCCAAGATACAGTTTCCAAAGTACAGAGTCGACGATGTTACTGAATACAAATAACAAGTTAGAGTCATGACCACATATTTCATCGTCTCATAAGCCATTGCTACAACACACAGCACCATAATGATCTGAAACCAGGGCCCGGAGAGGATAAACAACACGACAGAGAGTAAATACGGAAAATAATGTACTATAATACTCAATTTGGAAAACAGGCGCAGCAAAGTTGAGATTAAAGCAATCAGCATTATGACAAGTGACTATTAAGCAGGTCTAATCCTTACACCAATTTTAGTTTAACACACTCTGGTCAGATCTGCCGTTATCTCAACCTTTCGGGCCCCACGTTGGGCGCCAAAAAGGCTGTTGTGGTTTAACCCGGCCGGCAGCTAAACACCACGCAGCCGTTCGCTCACCCTCCCCCCTCCCTCTCCGGGACGGGGGAGAGAAATGGAAAGTGAAGCCCGTGAGTTGAGATAAAGACAGTTTAATAAGACAGGAAAATAATAATAACAAAATAATAATAAAATAATAACAATAATAATACAATGATGATAATAGGAAAGTAATAATAGTATGTACAAACAAGTGATGCACAATGCAATTGCTCACCACTCGCTGACCGATGCCCAGCCTAACCCCGAGCAGTCCGGCCCCTTCCCCCCCCAGCTAGCCACCCCTATATATTGTTTAGCATGACGTCAGATGGTATGGAATACCCCTTTGGCTAGTTTGGATCACCTGTCCTGGGTCTGTCCCCTCCCAGCTCTTACTGCACCCCCAGCCTGCCCGTTGGCAGGACAGAGCAAAAGGCTGAGATGTCCTTGGCTTAGTATAAGCACTGCTCTGCAACAATTAAAGCATCGGGGTGTTATCAGCACTCTTCTCATCCTAAGCCAAAACACAGCATTCCACCAGCTACTAGGAAGAAAATTAATTCTGTGCTAACTGAAACCAGGACAGCCAGTAAACAAATGCAGGCAACCCAGGAGGTGCTCAGCCAGGTAAAAATACTGCTTCTGCAGTGCTTCTGGTGGACATGGACATGCCCAAACTGCCAGGAGCTGCCACATTTCAGAACTGGAGCCCTCCAACAGTATTACTGAAAAACAAATTTTGAGCTGAGAATGCAAATAAGAGGCTGTTCTCGTGTGGCCAAATTTAGGCTCCCCACAGCTGAGAAACATTGTCATTCCTATACAGAAACTCCATTTACACAGATTAGCCTGCAGCTGGATTGAACATTTTGCCTCTGAAAAGGCCAGTGTTGCTTCCAACACAACCAAGAGCTCCTCCATATTAGTCCTGTGAACATGTAGCAAATACCATCTTCAGCTGTTCCCACTTTCCCGTGTTGGTTCCATACAGAGAGATTTACTGCGTTATGAAATTTCCCTGCACGTGGCTGCAATACATGGCACAGCTGGACTGACAAGAGCATGTCTGGACCTTACATGAGTGTTGGGGCATACTAGACAAGCTGTTCAGATAAACCACAGCTCCGTTTATTTGCAGGAAAAACAGAGAGAGCGCTGTTTAATCATTACCTGACCTAAAAATTGTTCTGTATTTAGGGATCTGCAATTTTAAAATGGCCAATAAATGGGTAAGGAGCAAACGGGTGGACTTGCACACATAAGCATGGGGGTGCACATGCCAGCCTTCCTGGCAGGTGTACACAGGAAAAATAAAAGGTGGGGGAGGGAAGGGAAAGGGAAAGAAAATCAGTAAGTCAACTCTGCTGATCTGTGGTTGCTGCAGTGTGCAGGGAGGGTGCACACCCTCCTTGGTGGGCAGCCAACAGGTTGAAGTCCTCTTCTGGAAGCATTTTGGCTGCCGTGCGACATCCAGGGAGAAGGCGGCACCGCCTGGTTTCCTTCTTGCTGCCACCAAGCCTGGTGAAGAGCTGACAACGCAGCTTCCATACAGTCTGTCAAGTCATAAAACGCAGCCTGGGGGCCAGAGGGCCTGGCCCTGGGTGAAATGCTTCCTCAGCCCCACATCCCCTGCCAGGGACCAGGAGAATGGGGCAGCCCCTGAGCCACCCCCGTACATCTGCCCTGGGACCCTTCCTGCCCTCGTTTTGCCAGTATTGTGGGGAAAAAGTGCTTACCTGCTATACCCCCTGCAAGCCACACGGAAGAGGGATTCGGGGAAATGCATCCGTCGGGGTTAATCCATCCACAGACAAATGTGTAAGGGATGAAATACAGGCAGTACCCAGGAACATCCCTCAGAAGCATTGCTCCCACACCTCGGTATATTCCTGCTATCCCTTCTTTCTGTAGGACTGTCCTAAAGCAGTGAATCGGGCCTCGGTACATGGGAAATCCAGGAACTGTGGGCTTTATTTTATTGTTGGCTAAAAATAAAAAAAAATAAAAAATAAAAAGGAATTAAAAAAAAAAAGATACAAGTGCTATGATAACTATTTAGCTACAGTTCCTTGCAAAAGCCCAGCATTAGGAGCAGTCACAGAGGTTACATGGGTAAAATGGGAGAAATGCAGATGGAAGAGAATGCCTGTTGAAATACTGACAGGAGATGTCTGCCAACCTGGGAACCCAGCCTGGGAACAAGAAGCATCCTTGAAAAGTGCAGCTGGAATCCTCGAAGTGCAGCTGGGTGCCAGAGAACCAGAGACAGCCTGAGATACCCTCAATAAGCACAAAGCCAAGAAACTGCAACAGCAAACTTATCGCCCGCAAAGGCAAAAAACGGTCTGAAAAGATGGAAAACACCCTGAGAAGCAGCAATTGGCAACAGGTACTGGTTCCCACCATCGTGATCCTCACACAGCCGTGTGCCAGGTAGCTCTGTACGCCAGGACCAGCAGAGAGAGCAAGAAGGACCTTTTGCTTTCCTACCTGTGATGTATGGCTGTGTTTGCATCTGCAGCCTTATCTTCACCAGGTCAACAGGAGTGCCGATCCCGACGGAGACGAACCCCGCCACCATGCTGGCCAGCGCCACATCGGCCAGCACCGGCGCATGGGAGGCGTCTCCGTGCCGGAGCTGGCTGAGGAGCCGCTGCGTGTTGCTGAAGACGCCAAACACCACCGAGCTGTAGACAGCAATGCTGGCCAGCGGGAAGGACATGCCTTTGAAGAAGCCGGCCACCTACACGGGAAAGGAGCAGGAGTTACAGGAGCAGCTTGGCACAGCTGCTCTTATCTGTCTGGCTCACAAAACCACGGCAAATTCCTCCTCCCTGTTCTGCTTGCTCTGTGCATCTGCCTTCCTACTCTGTCCCCAAGGAATGATGAATTGGCTTTCATGTGATGCAAGACCCTGATCACTTGGATCTTCCTCTTGTCTCTGTTTTCTGGGTTTGGTTGCTCCCATCCCTCAGGCAGGGACGGCAGGACCGGGAACACTGCCTGCAGGGAGAGGGGAGTGGGGCCGAGTGACGCAGCCACCCGCTGCTCTATCAGCCAGAGCTGCAAATCCAAGCAGCAGATGTCTCTTGGAAGCAACCGCCTGCACATGCTGAGCACATGGAAATTGATTCATTCTGCTAAGGAGAAGATCGTGCAGGATGCGGGAGTCTTCTGAAAGCACAGGAAATTCTGCAAAAGTCTCTCCTATGGCCAGCTTCTTTCCTGGCATCACCAAAGACAGCAAAATACCTCCGGTAAAGGGTTTTGCTGGCAGGTACAGGCAAAACAGTGGGTGTAACAGCCTGATCCATGTGGAGACACGGGCAGTGTCATTTATCATGTCTTCTCCCTACAGGGGTTACCAAGAGAACTGGCAAGAGTTAGCAAGAGGAGGCTGCGAGGATTTGCAGTCTTTCTTCTTCCTTTAGGCATTGAATGGAATTGCACCAACTTTGGTGTCAACACTGATTTTATATAATTGCTCCGTGCATTTATTTATTTATCTTTTTGTGTCTTCTACCAGCATATTTTAAGTATGATAAAGTACTTACGGACTCATTTCTGTACACAGTAAGAACACAGTTGAGTGTATTTCCATATCCTTGTCCAGCTTGCAAACGAGTCTGCAAAACACATTCGTGAAATGTGATTAAAACCCCACACTTCCAGACGGGTGAAAGCTCATGCTATGTAAACAACGCGTACTTTGCTTTGAGAGTGAATCCTTGCTTAGCTGTAAAGAAAACAGAGCAATAAAGTAAGATATATGTGCATCCACTCCCCTTGAACTTTGCCAGAAGCAGGGCTAAGCAGGACCTCAGGGCTCTGAAGCTGTTCTGCAACATCTGGATTCGATGACTGTCAAATCGCTCTCAAGAGCAGACCAGCTACTCTGTCCCAGCCCAGCAATCGCAGCGCATCGCTGGTGTGCAATACCATCACTTGCAAATTCATGATTTATGTACAAATTGGAGGGTGATGTGGTCTGCTCCGCTTGGAGGCTTTCAGTGGAGGCTGGGACGCATTGCTGGAGGATGGGGAAAGAGCTCCCCTGGGAGGCTTCCAGGACCCTTCTGCTTCAAGGTGGATTGTAAAGACATAGAGATACTAAACAGGGCCAAAATAATTCAGCTCTAACTCAGAAATTCTCCATACTTCCCTCAAAGATACAGTTTTACATCATTTCTAACAAAAGCATTTTGTTTCTGGAAGGCAATGGCTACGCGCCTTCCAAAAAGTGCCTACAACAGCTGTAAGAAATGGCCAGTAAATCATGGCAAGGTCTGCATTATTCAGCATACTTCCCCTCTCACATATATACTTATACATACACATACACTTAGATCATCTTTCACTCAAGCTGTTCACAAGTTAGCAATAAAATAATCCTTACAAGTAGGTGATGCGTTTTGGGGCTTAGAGGTGGGCGAGGAAGTGGAAGCCCCGTTCTGTACACAGGATCTCTTATTTTAAAAAGTGATTTTTTTCTGTAGGGAGACACTTGCACACACTCTGTCGGGGATGTTTTTAAGGAAGCTGGACAACATTTCTAGCCGTATCCACCAGCATTGCTGCTGGCAGGACACTGGGGTGGTGAAAAGAAGGCTGCAGGGACGGTGCCACCCTGCACCGCTCCCCTTGGCGGCACAGCCCTGGCTTGCAGCAGGTGAGGCAGGAACCCGATTTAGGTATTTAAAGCCCAAAAGAGTGAGTGCCCTCTGGAGTCTGTGCCTGGGGAGAACAGGTTGAATGACCCAACCGTTTGGTCCTGCGCCCCGCCAAGGGCGGAGTCCCACCCTGGCCAGCGGTGCCTTTTGCCACCAAGCATCTCCAGCCCAGGGCATGGTTCCTCATCTCCTGGGTTGGGAATGCCGCTTTCCTCGCCTTGAGCTCCTTCCCCCAGTGCTATTTGGGGCTGCTTTGGCCTCCTTCCATGAAGATGGGCTGCTCTGAACCCCCAGGCACTGCAACCACGGAGAAGCATAAAGTGGAAGATTTACTAAGCGCTTCCAAAAAGCTCCAACACGGCGCTGCAGCCCCAGCTCCTGCAGAGCACATTGTGCAAGGTGCCCAGCACCATCCTGCTCTGGGTGCACAGCCCCCTGCTCCCTGGGACCAGCACCGATGTTAACAGGACCCGGCTGGGTGGCTGCGGCACACAGCTCTGCATTCCCTCCTGGCTTAATTTGCACGCGTAGCCCACAGGTTCCCATTTGGCCTCCATGGGCTTGTTATTTTTTCTTTTACACAGTAACCAGGTATTTAGAGGTTCAAGTTAATACATTTTTTGAATAACTGAGAGCAACCGAGCACCCTCACAAGCTGCTCGGTGCAGACCTGCCTCTTAGATAAGCTGAAATCCTTCAGCCCTGTCCCCTCCAGCTGGGGAGCCCCCGGCCCCAGGGGCTGTGAGTGCCCCCAGGCTGCTCCTCATGGGTCTGCTGCTGTGTAAAACCTCCCCTTTCCATTTCCCATCCCCTAAATTTGGACAGACAACAAGTCTGCCTGCTTGATATTCCCCAGCAACGTCCAGCCCCCAGTGCAGCAGGTTCAGGCTGACACTTGCCTTTATAAGCATGAAGGATGGGCTCTCCTGGCACCCAGCAGCTCAGCACAGCCCGGCAGGATCCTCCAGCGGCTACTGCCAAACTCCCCAAACCCAGCAGTGGCATTCCTGAGCTCCATCCTCAGACAGGGATGCCAGCACGGGTCCTCGGCAAGCCGGGACAGAGCTTGCACTACCTGAGCCCTGCCCAAGCCTTGCTGCTCCTGCTGGGGGGCTGCACCTTTCCCATGCTGTGATGCTCCCAAGGCTGATAGCAGCAGCTTAGACACAGATGGCAGGGCTGGAGAGCTGGCTGTGTGTGTGAGGGGAGGGCTGTGGTGGCTGGGGAAGGATGTGGTGTGGGCCCTGCTGGCCACTGTCACCTTCCCGTGGCCCTCCATGAGTCCTTCAGGTGCAATAGGACCTTTTTGTCTTTGGGTCTGCCACACCTGACAGCCCTACCTGATGCCAGCAATGTGGCTTGTGCTAGGTCAGGGCACGTGGGCAGAGCAGCTGAAGCCAGGAAAAGTGGCCCGAGATGTCAGACTGTGCCAAAGGAGAAGGGAAGAGCGGGGTCTTCCTCCGTAGCTCTGCTCCAGTGGGGATGGTCAGCCCGATGGGGCGCGCTGTGTTAATGTCTGCAGGGGCCTGTCTGAGCCAGGGTGGTGAACCTGGTAGCCAACACCTCGTTATATCTCTCAGTCCTTCCTTCTGAGGAGTATTTTTCTTGCAGGAATACTAAATATTGCCTGTCATAGCCCTGGGATAGCAATTTCAACATTCTGCCCTTACAGGACTGCCGACACTAGGAAAACATGCAAAAATGCGCCTGGAGCAAAACAAATACAGTTCTCCCACTGCCCTTTGAATACCTTTTTGTGGCAAAGTTCAATAAAACACTGGCAGAACTGTTCAGCAAGCCCAGCACTACCTAAGGCCACTTTTAATTTCAGTATTAATCCTCATCAGAGGAGCTCACACGTATCTGCCAGGTGTTTTGATTTCCCTTTCAAAATGAACACTGGAGAGGGAGAAAGACTAAAGTCTGTGAAAACATTTCTAAAATCCCCCTCGGGATGAAATGAAGGTTTTCTGCAGTCATCTAAAGAGAGGCTGTCCCCCTGCCCATGGGTTTTTGGGTGGTGCTGTGAGGGCGCGGATCAAGGGGTTTTACCTTGATGGTGTCCAGTGGGTGGCCCACAACCACGCTCGCGGCTCCTGGGGAGGAAAACAAAGTATTACGCAAAATGCTGAAGCAGCCTTTTGGACAGGGCAGGACGCAATGGGTTTGCAGGGGAAGAGGAGGGATTTCCAGGAAAAGAGCCAGCCTGTGCCAAGCCAGGGTGACACCGCACGGTGTCACTTCTCTAGCAACAGGCAGGAGCCGGGCAGACACACCTGAGCTTCTCCCCTGCGTGTCCTCCTAAACTCCAACTGCCTTACACTTAGAGGTGTCTGAGCGGTAGGAGGAGGTGTTAGATTTTAACATCCTGCCCATAAATGACCCCTGTCTCCCTTGCACTCATGTAAACTCATGCAACTTTTAGTCTTGACATGGCGAGGTGCAGATTAGACGTGAGGAAATGCCTTCTACTTTTGAAGTTTTGCACTCATAGTAGGTTCAGGCTGCAAAGAGCATCATGTCCTTGGACAACACCTTACAACTTTACTCAAAATGCCTTATTAAAGTGTTCCTGCTTGTCCTGGATGTTCAGCGCTACGCATGGATATTTGCCACTGCCACCCGGGCCTGAGGCTGCATGCCAGCGGCTGGTCACCCTGTGTCCTGCCCCGCTCCTGGGGGTGCGTTGGGGATGTCCTGGGGGATAGTATGGGGTCAGCGTGGCAGGCAGATTGCCTGAGTGCCTCACAGCCTCCACGGGGTGCATCGATCTGACGGCCAGTTGCTCGCGTAAGCTTTTGGCGGGGGCTCTGGATTTTGTCAGTCCAGCTAACCTATTAACCTCGTCTGGCCAGTCAGGATCCGTGAGCACCCCACACCTCCTTCCTCAGCCTGGCATCAGCATGAGCCCGGGCAGAGCTCTGGCCTGTGGCTGCGGCCACCAAGCTCGCCCCGTGCGCTGCGTGTCCCATGGCTGTGCCCCTTCTCACCTGGTCCACCCAGAGGGACCTTTCCCTGCTGTAAGACACCACACCGCTGCTGTCCCTGCGCACCTTTCCCTTGCCTTTGCTTTCTCTGAGCTATTTTCCCGACGGTTTCCAGCAGCATTCCCAGCACACCAGCCCGAGCCCCTCCCCTCCCAGCGGCACCCTTTGCTTTAGCAGGGCTGGGGGCGCACAGGGGGGCTGCGGGGGTCCTGGCAGTCCCCTCCCAGCCCCACTACAGAGCAGGGAACCCAGGAAAGGGTGCTTGGGGTGGGTAGTGTGCCACTGACACCCATGGGTGTCCCACCTGCGTGTGTGCAGAACCCACCGGTGTGCCAGCGAGATGCTTATGCCTTTGCTTTGACCCAAACGATCTCACCCCCAGAAACTGCTTAACCTGTACTAACTACGTGCAACCCCCCCCATAAAAAAAAAACACGCGCCCCCCCCCAAATCCTCCCCTCGCCCCCCAGTCCCGACCCCCGCGGCACCTACCGCCCACCCAGCCGGCGGCGAAGTCCTGCAGCTGGATGCTGCCCCTGCCCGTGCCCGTGCCCGTGCCCATGCCGGGGGGCAAGGGGGGGGTCGCGGAGCGGCGCAGCGCGGAGCCCGGCGGCGCTGCCGGCAGCAGCCGGGGCTTAAAAGCGCAGCGCGGCCGCGCCCGCCCTGCCCAGAGCCCGGCCCGGCGGGGAGCGGCCGCGCAGGGGCCGGGGGGGCCGGGGTTGGGGCTGGGAAGGGGGCTGGGGCTGGGAAGGGGGGTCCCCGGGCTGGAGATGTCCCCGGGCACCCCGAGCATCCATCCCGGGGGGCGGCTGCCACCTCCAGGTACGGCTCCTGCGCACGCCTGGGCTGGGAGAGGAGGGGAGGTGGGAAAGAGGAGCCGCTCCTTCCCTGCTCGGGTGATTGGGAAAAGGATTTATTTAGTGGAGGGAAAAGCCAGGGACTGCGAGGAGCTGTTTATAAATTCTCCAAGTGGAGGAGTCTGGAGATAAAGTTTCTCGCACTGCTTTGCACAAGCGGCAAACTTCACTGAAATCCCACCGCCTCGCTCTGCAGGAGGTGCCAACAGTGAAGGATCGCTCCCCATCCCCTTCCTTCTCCAGAGCACCCACAGCCCGCTTACACCCCCGGTGCCTGCTTGTCCCCCAGCCCTGCCGTTCCGTGGCTCCTGAGCCCAGCCCTGTTTGGTTTCGCTCTCGTGCCAGATGTTCACCCTCAGCCCGCTCGCCGAGCGGTGCGACAGAACCGCAGCAGGAACACAGCAGGTGCCCAGCGCGTTGCTCTCCAACCCTTCTCTGGTAACTCCTCACATATCCATCTGACCCACACTGCACACTGGACTCACTTCCCTGTGTGGCTAATACCCGACTTTAAGCCCTGCCTGGCTCTTTTGCCCCCTGTGTTAGCAAAATCTGATGTCTTATGTCTGAATTGGATTGAAATATGTCTGGATTATGTCTGCATCCAGCTACGTAGCACGTCCTTTTGCTCCTTAACCGGATCACTTCGAGCTCTCTTCCTTGCCGTACTTCAGGGCCACGACTTTGCTCTGCAGAAGATGTGTTGGCCCTTCCACACCGTACATCTGCCCATCTGCATTGGTTTACCGCAGCCCAAAGTGAGCCCCGTGCTGCTGAGGTCAGATTGCTGCAGGCAGCAGCTCCTCGGATCAGCCTGGGATGCCTTCGGAAAGGGTTGGCATCGGGCTTGGTACATGGCCTTCCTGGAATACCACGTTGGTTTTGTTGAAACGTATTTTGTCTGCATATTCTGGCAAGTGCAGAACATGTTGGTAGCTCGTTAACAACTCTGCAACAACAAAATACTAAATTAGAATATAAATATTTAAAGTTTGCCTTAAACAGTTAGTATTTGAATTTCCATTGAAAAAAAATTGACATTTTCCACAAAAAGAGACATGTTTTTTCAGACTGACCTTAAAACAATGTCTCCTTATCTGCGTGCACATATACACAAGAAACCTTATCACTGAGCTGGCTGAAGGGAGCTTTTATCTGCAAAGTGCTTATGGAAATTTGATATTAGGTGTGCGGTTATCAGCTCGGATCATCTCCACCCGAAACCCAAGATTTTTCAATGTATATAACCCAGCACCTTCTCCATGCAGAGGCTGGGGGGGCTGTGGTCCTTTGTCAGTACTGGAGACAGGGTGCATGCACCTTGTAAACTTGCCAGTTGTTTGTTTTCCCAAATATATTTGTATCCCTCCTTTTAGAAGAATTCCATATAGGCAGTAATACAGAAAGAGGATATTCTCCTCATTTTCCATGCATATTTTCTTGCAAAGCCAAAGGAAAAGCTGGCTGACTGAGGTAATTATTCAGATAGCAGCATTAATCATTAATCACAGGAATTCTCTCTAACTCCAAGCAACGCGTTTCCATGCCAAATTCGGAACATCTGCTAGCTCAGGGAAACGGTCTTTGTGCAATGCTGGATGGAGGGCTGGAAGCAAGCGTTGTGGAGACTTGTTGGTGAGCGCTCCCAGCCTGGAAGAGCGGGGCAGAGGAGCCAGGGTGGATGCAGAAAGAAGCTGAGCTGCTCTTGATGTTGCTCCTTTGTCAGGGGGACAGCTCCCAGCTTCGGGCCGGGGCACTAACAGGAGCATTTTTGCACTGAAAAATATTTGCCAGCCTTCTGCCAAGTCCTGCCGGCGGGCTGAGCAGCTCCTATCACCAACCAGACAGCCTCAGGTGTGCTGCTGTGTGCTCAGATGTGTACAGCTCCAGTTCCCAGCTCTGCTCGTACTGACAGCAGCGGCGGTGTCCTATGGAGAGCTGGAAAGGGCCACAAACCTTCCGCTGCTCCCAGTCCCAGCCTGGGTTTGCAGCCGCTCACAGGAAGCCCTGGCTGGGGGGATGAGCGTGGTTTTGATTAGGGACGAGGAATCTGCTGCCTCCTGCCAAGAGGGGGAACAGGGAGGTTGTGTCCTCCTGAACGTTGCTGTTTCTTCTTCCTCAGCACAAAACCATTGCTTGGCACGGCACGGCACTCCTCTGTCCAGCAGGTGCCAGTGCTAGAGGCAAGGAGCTTCCCACCCCTTCCTGGGAGCCCTGCGGTTCCTGCGGGTGAGGGACTTGGTAACTCGTGGCCGATTCACACATGACCACACCGGGAAATAAAAGAACAACTCAGCAGAGAGGGGATGTGAGGGATGAGCAGGGATTACACATTTCTCATCCAACTGCAAAGGGGCTGTGGGCTGTGATGCGTTTTACTGCACATGCTGCTGATCCAAGGAAAAAACGCCTTTAAATATTAACCTTTTAATAACATTGTGGCTTCAACTGCTGGGCAAGATACAAGCAAAACAACAATAAACCTCGCTGCTGTGGCCAGAGTCACAGGGCACTGGGCTCTAATGCCTGGGGTCTCTGCGAGGGGCTGTGCCCCATGAGCAGAGGCCAGCAGGTTACAAAATGACGTGCACAGCCCCCCGAAAATTGTGCATGCTGTGATAAGAGGGCAGCTCCACCGGCTGCATCTCTCAGGCAAATCCAGGCAGCAGGAAGAGAAGTCAGGGGCCACATAGCAGAAATAGCTGTCCCCTCCAGGAGCTACCCACCAAGCTCATAAGAGATAAGTGCTTTCTCCACAGGAATGTGTAGAAGGTGGATTAAGGACCACGAAGACCAGGAGCAGGCAATGGAGTCCCCGCTATCAATGCCTGCAAAGCTCTTCTGTGCCCTTCCCTGCCCTCAGCCTGGTTACATCTTGCTGGAGAAATCCTTTCCCAGGAAGAATTAGGCAGTGAGGGGAATCCCCTGCTCTTTTCATCCCCTTTTTGCTTATTCTATGTTATAGAGAACATCTCTGTAAGACGCCTGGAGTAGCTGGTGTCCCATGAGGACAAGATTCATCTTAAAACCCACAGGCAAGACTCAGCTGGGACTGCAGATTCCCAAAATACCTCTTTGCCATCTCCCTCTTTACTCAGCAGCCGTTTTTGGCAGGCATCCCAAAGCCCCATTTGCCTGTCTGACCATCACAGAGTGCCCAGAGCTGGGCAAGTTCAACTGAGCTTCCCAAAGGTTTTGAGCAGCACAAGAATCTACCTAACCCCACGGCTGGATGGACACTTTGCTGTTGTCAAGGCGGTGTTAATTATTAAAAAAGACTGCACATAGGGATGAAGCCTTCCAGTATCATTCTCACCTCTCATCACCCCAAATTGCCAATGCAAACGCTGAAGCAGACCAGAGAGGAGCTGCTGGGGATGGGGAGATCTCAGGGGTACATCCAACACATCCCCCAGACCCTCGAGCACCAGCCAGCACTCGGGGCAGTGTCCATCAGCCGTCCCCAGGCTCCTACCAGCAGCAGGGCCACAAGGAACCCATGTCCCGATGTCTTCCTCTACCACAGCCCCTGGTGAGCAGGAGACGTGGCCACATCTGGAGCCTGGAGAGCTGCAGCCTCATGAACCATCCCCAGGAGCCAGAGGGGTTTTGGCTGGGATGAGCCAGCTCGGTGCAGACACGCTTGAAGCAGGGAGCAGAGCAATATTGCACCAGGCGGCTGCAGCACGGACGGAGAGGCACTTCTCCCTGCCGTGCAGGGACAAGACAGCCAGCTGTGACTCACGCTCCCTGCTCCCATCCCCCAGGTCCGTTTGCCACACTGCAGCTATTGATAAGACCTTGAAAGAGCAGGAAGTTTCCCTGGCAGAGGCGCCTGGGCGGGCATCGTGTGGTTGTACTGCTAATGAGCCTAAGTGGAGCACTTTGCTCAAGGCATTTCCAAGTTTCCAAGCTCTGACTGCAGCACCAGCAGCCGCCTGCTTGGCCGCTACCACGGTATGCAAAGGGACGGTGCCACCAGCACCACCGCCGTGCCGGCTTTATTAAGGGAGAGAAGACAGCGAGCTGCCAACGAGGAGATTGAGGGACAGGTTGATGTTCAACCAGTGCACATTTAGCAACGTGGGACGTGCAGCATGCAATAGCAAGGTGACAGCCATGGGGACAACGCTTCCCCAGCTCTCTCAAGGAAATGTGGGCTCCCGTGCCCTGCTCTCCTCCGTGTTAGACCCTCCATGCTCACACAGAGAGAATTGGGGCATGTAGAAAGAGCAGTGGAGCAGGGAGGAGGTTTACTCTGAGGGTAGAGGCAGGAGTGTCTCTGGAAGCTACAAGCGAGCTGCAAGGCTGGGGAGCTTCATGCTCCATCAGCCAAGCATCTGCAGCAGCCACCCTGAAGTCCTGGAAATAGCTGCAGGAGGGATTTTGTGTTTGCTGCCCTGGGGCTGGGGGGCAAAGCCTTGCCCAGGCTCTCCCAGCCCTCCTTCTAAACCCCAAATATGTTAAATGGTGTTACCATCAGGTGTTACCCCCCCTGGCAGTGACCTCCTGATGGACAAACGTCCTTGAAAACGCCCCTGGCAGTTAACCAGGTCCTGTGGGGTTTTCATTCCTTGGACGGTGGTTAATGCTTTCAGCAGAAAACCAAGTCATTTTGTTCAAAGAGCTGAATGAGAAAAGCTGAGCCTCAGCCAGCTTCTATTGGAAAACAACGGTGAAAACATGGAAAAAAAGCTTTGAAAGAAGCATGGAGCCCTAAGAGAGGTTTGTCAGCTGCGATGGCTGTCCTGCCCTCTCTGATGCTGGAGGGAAACGGAGAGGACAGGAGCCAAGGTGGAGGGGGAGGAGGTGTCTTCTTTGAG